TCATTCATTCATTTTTCTTGTTGGCTTAGTCCCTTTTTTACTCTGGGGTCGCCACAGCGGAATGAACTGCCAACTTATCCAGCACGTTTTTACGCAGGGGGATGCCCTTCCAGCCCGTTTACATGAGTGTTTGGCCATGTTTGCTTCATTTTGCGACAGATAACTTGCCATCCAAATTGTTGTGAATGAGTTTTAAGAGGTGCTGACAGTACAAAAAAATGATTAGGTTCCTTCTTTACAATAATAACAGTAATATGGACCCAATGTATAATATATATTTACCATAGCATATGTACGTCTGAAAGACATCATTTAAGAGGTATACTTCATCCGAAAAATATCTAAAAGAAACATGTTCCAAATGTCTGTTTTAAATAAAGAGATTCTAAACATCTGATAAACATCTGCTAGAAGTCTCATAGACATATTGAACATGAGCACTAAAAAAACATGTCTTGCAGATAGTAAATAGACATCATTGCATTGTACGTGTTAACAAGGTTTAAAGATTTTCTGTGCAGAATAATGTCAAGTTCTTGTTTGACGTTTTTTTTTTAACATGGTGCTAAATCCAAAAGATATTGTAAATAATATAATGACATAATTTACAGGAGATATTAACATTTAATTACAGAAAGAAGCTATATAAAATTGAAATAAATGAGTTTTTTACTAAATATATTGACCTTATTCTCCGCAGACGAGCGGGCGCTGCCATTTGAATCTTTTTGGCACGAGACTTCCGGTCTCATTCACTTCCATTCATTTTTAGACATTAAAAACTGCTCGTTTTGCTGTTTGATGTTGTAAACAGATATTTCCTTGTTATATTATTTTACTTGGTCTGTATAGTCATGCAAACATTTGTTTGTAGAGCAAGTAGTTTGACCGTTTTTTGCCGTTTATTATTCCTTGTCATTTCTCCCATAAGCGACTGAAACGGAAGTTCAAAGACAATCGCGAAAACAGGCGCACTTCCGCATTTTAGAATAAGGTCAATATATCTGGCATCAACAAACATGCCACGTTCAAAGTCACTTAAATCCCCTTTCTTCCCCATTCTGATGCTCAGTTTGAACTGCAGAAGATCGTTTTGATCATGTCTACATGCCTAAATGCATTGAGTTGCTGCAATGTGATTGGCTGATTAAAAGTTTGCTTTAATGGGCAGTTAGTACCTAATAAAGTGGCCGATAAGTATAAAATTATCATTTGTCATCTGTAAATCGTAATGTCATGTAAGTTTTTATATTGGTTGTTAACCCTAAATTCAGGTTTTTGAATTATCAATGTGCATAAAACCTAGTAGTATACACAATTTAGACCATGCTTTTGTTAGTTTGATATGATCGTCTCATCATTTTTAAAATGCACCGTTTTATTTCGTACTATATATACAGGCCTGAATTGTCACGACACTAAACAACAGATACACAAAAAGTGTTTTAATGACCCATGCCAAATGTGTTTAAATCAAAATAGCAGAGGTGTAAGAAAAACCAGTGTAAAAAAGAAATCTAGAACATGATCTTGTTGTGTGTTTGTCTGCCTCTAGTGGTCATTTAATGCTACTAAAAATGTAAAAATAATCAATTTAAAAGCCCCTTAGAGTTCAGGATGGGTCGAAATAGAACAAAACACAATAAAAGAGACATCATTGTCCGTTCCACCTTTTATTAATGTAAAACAGGCTTCATAAAATAAAATAGATAACCAATGGATAAAACATGCTTTAAATATTTGCAATAAAAAAAATAAAATGTTCGGTCCAAAATCTAAATCCAGGGCCATGCCTCGGAAACATTGAGTTTCTCCCATCTGTGTGGGATGGTGGATTTCGAATATGGGCAGATAAAGTTCTTATAACAATAAATCAGTTATTCGTTGGAAAAGAAATTAAATCATTCTCACAACTCTTAGAACAATGTAATATTTCACCGAAAGATATGTAAAGGCTCTTCCAAATAAGACATTGCATTACAAACCATAAAGAAAAAGCTCTAGTCATGCAAGAACCAAATAAAATAGAGGAATACTTCTTAAATATGACAGAAAAAAAACAAAAAACATTCCAGCTAAAAAAAAAAAACATGTTTCTCACTTAAACAAAAGATTAGTAAATAACACTACAAAATACAGATCATGTTAAAGGAAAATGGGAACAAGAATACCATAATCGAAGATGAGGTCTGTGAAAGATGTCATAAAGTAATTAATAGTCAATTATGGAAAGAATTTGATTGGAAAGTAAAAATTAGGTACTTTAATACTGCTTTTTAAAATATCAACATACAGTTGAAGTCGGAATTATTAGCCACCCTGTTAATTTTTCCCCACTTTCTGTTTAACAGAGAGAAGATTTCTTTCAACAATAGTTTTAATAACTCATCTCTAATAACGGATTTCTTTTATTTTTATCATGATGACAGTAAATAATATTTGACTAGATATTTTTCAAGACACTTCTATACAGCTTAAAGTGACATTTAAAGGCTTAACCAGGTTAATTAGGTGAACTAGTTAAGCCTTTAAATGTCAATAGTCTAAATAGTCTACTATAGTCTACAGATGGTTTGTTCTGTAGACTATTGAATAGAAATATAGCTTAAAGGGGCAAATAATTTTGTCCTTAAAATGGTTTTTAAAAAATTTAAAGCTGCTTTTATTCTAGCCAAAATAAAACAAAAAAGACTTTCTCCAGAAGAAAAAATATTATCAGAGATACTGTAAAAATGTCCTTGTTCTGTTAAACATCATTTGGGAAACATTTTAAAAGAAAAAACTATTCAAAAAGGGGCTAATAATTCTGACTTCAACTGTATGTAAAAGGACCATCTGTGGCTTTGTGTTGGAGAAAATGTGGTAAAATTGAAGATCACACCAACATTTTTTGGGACTGTCCTAAGATTCAAGAATTTTGGAAAAAACATTTAAAAAAAAGAAATAGATAAGATATTAGATATAGAAATACCCCTCGATCCAGTTATGTGCTTACTAGGAGCACTGCCCAAAGAAATGTTTAATAAAGAGACAAGATTTGTCCTATGTATATTATTACTGGTTGCAAATAAAATAATAACAGTACATTGGATAAAAGAAAGTTCTCCAAAGGTGACTCAGTTCTGTAAAAAAAATATATTGAAAAATCTTAAATAAAAAGTAAAAAAAAAAAAAGAGTCCCTCAAAGTTAAGCTGTTGAGTTTTACCTTTTTTGAATCCATTCACCTGATCTCTGGGTCTAGCGGAGTATTTATAGCTTAGCTTAGCATAAATCATTAAATCGGATTAGACCATTAGCATCTCACTTCAAATATTCAAAAAAAAAAGGGTTTTGATAGTTCTCCTATTTAAAGCATGACTTTTCTGTAGTTACATCATGTATAAAGACAGAGTCAAGCTTTAAATGGGAGAATTATCAACTCTTTTGACATTAAAAAAAGATGCTAATGGTCTAATCAGATTCAGTTATTTATGCTAAGCTAAGCCAAAGGTGCTGCCGTCAGACCCGGAGACTGGCTGAGGGGAATCAAAAATGGTCAAACTCACCTGTTTAACTTTAGGGGACTTGTAAAATGAGCCTATTTACAAAATAAAAAGTGGAGTATTCCTTTAAGCTTCCTTTAACACTTTCATTCCGGCGCAAGTATGAGTTTTTAACATTTCTGAGAGATAATGTTCTTTTTTTCTGTTTGGGTGGGGTTGTAAACGTAATTTTTTTTGCCCATCAGGGTGACGGCACTGGCATCTGCAGCATTTACCGGGGACCATTCGCAGATGAGAACTTCAGAATGAAACACTCTGGTCCAGGACTCTTGTCAATGGTAAATCTACACAATGGGCTACATGCACACACAGCCCAAGAGCTTCCGATTAACTGTCTTTCCATTACAAAATTGTCACGTTTAAGATCTGATTTCTTTAAAAATCAGCGATCTTCACTACCTGTTAGATATACGATATGAAGTGGGTCTCAGACCGCACAAGAAACACTGCATTCTATTTCCCCGCGCCATGTCTTTAAAATATGACAGTTTATTTTACCCCGGCATTTTCAATGAAATTTCTGCGCTAGTCTGTTGCTACGGATATTGTTTTACGCATGAACATCATAATGAGCACTTAAGTCTATTAAGCTGAATGTATTGTAATTGCATTACAACATCGATGCTGTAAAAACCACCTTGTGAAATTGAAAATTGTCACATTAAGCTTTCACCGCAAGCTTATCGTTGGCTTTAAAACTCTAGCTGCCCATCGTACTGTTGAAGAATTCTGTTCTGATTTTTGACACCACATGAAGTTGAAGACCTGTTCATTATTAAAGAAACGCAATCTGCTTTTACAACACTGTAACTGTCTTTTCTGTCACGTTTGATTGGCCCATGATTGATAGAAGTAATTAATAATGGGAAAACATACAGTTGTTTAATGGGATTAGATCACATTTTCCACCAAAATATGAAACGGCACAATTGTTTTCAACATCAGTGATAGTATAATGAGAGATGTTCAGCAACAAATCATCACTCACACACTGAAGACTGGAGTAATGAGGCTGTATATTAAGCTTTGAATCATAAAATGAATTATATATATATATATATATATATATATATATATATATATATATATATATATATATATTTATTTTTTTATTTTTTTATTTATTGAACATTTTGATTTTGATCAAAGCCCGAGATCCACCCAACAAAATATGCAGAATAAAAATAAAAACAGCAATATTGTAATAATAAGTACAAAATCAGTATTGAAATATAAATGATCCAGTCTCTCATATTTGACCAAAATTGTCCATTTTTTTTTTTTTTTTTTTTTTTTTTACTGGCACTATTTATTTTGGCTGTGGTATATTCCAGACTAATAATGTCCAGTAGATCGAGCCTCCGGGATAGATCAGTTGGAGCAGATGGATCCAGCCATAGTTTCAGGATTGTTTTTTTGCAGCAGTCCTTTTTTGGTTGATGGATAAGGAGAGTGATGACTCGTCCAAAACGAATTATATTTTGAAATAAATTCACCTAAAAAAAATTACCTGTTTACATTGTTTTTACATTTACTATTTTTATTATGTTTTTGTTCAGATAAATGCAGAATAGTCTTTAAAAAATAAATGTTTTGAATGAATAAAATTGTGATTTAAATAAAATAAAATTTCCTTAAAATTATTATTATTTTATTTATTTTATATAAACGTCTTGTTTACTTCATTTGCCCATTAGACGTTTACTCTCTTTTGTTGATTAAAAAAAAAAAAATGAAATCATGTTTTTTTTTTTTCTCCCACCCATCAGGCCAACAGCGGACCAGGAACAAACGGCTGTCAGTTTTTTATTACCTGCACAAAGTGTGACTGGTTGGATGGAAAGCATGTGGTATTTGGTAAGGCTGACAAAATCCTGTATCAATTCTGTTCTGAGAATTTAAATACTAAATTACTCATTCACTTTATTTATTTATTTATTTATTTATTAACTTATTTTCCAGGAAAAGTAGTAGACGGTTTACTTGTCATGCGAAAAATTGAGGTGAGCTTTTAAAAGTACATTTATTACTGACATTACTGATAATCCCTCAGGCCCCATTTACACTAAAACATTTTAATACAGTTTTAAAGCGGCGTTTTAGAATGAAAATGATCTGCGTCCACACTGGTGTTTCACCCAGCGTTTCTGAACAACTCTGCGCTGAAAACGCACATCACATGACCACACACACATTCTCTGGCATGCACGGCACCATATCAACCCAGATGAGAGCTGTGCTCGTGGGACTGTTCATCAAGGATCTACCGCTGGATCTAATCTCACTACATTTGTTAAACGTGATATTTAACTCATCTTGTTGTCTATATCTAACAACATATTCCCTGACTTTGCTATTTTGAATCTAATCCTTGTTCTCAGGTAACGTGTTTAGGCTGAGCGCAAAGATAAGTTCATATATTAATTAATGTAACCCCGAACACTGATTCTGCACATTTGACTGATTGTTTGCCTTTTTTTCCTATGAAGTATAAACTTATTGTACGTTATACTTTTATAAGCGCCATTATTAATTATTAAAACTGATATTCAGTAAAAGAGCCGGGGTTTGTTTCGTATTTTCAATAAAAATGAAAGGAGGCAGTAATGTTATAGGCTCCGTTTTGTTATAAATATGCATGAAGATGACAGTCGTATAAATATGCAGCTACACGACGCCTCAACATTTTTAGTGTCTGTTAAGCTCTTAATATTAAAATGAAAATAGGCAGTTCCTTATGTTATGTTTTCATTTTATTGTTAAGAAAGTGAAACGATGTAGCCAGGGTGATGTGAATGATGTTATAAAGTACACCCAGGTGAAAAATATATAAAATTAAATGCAATTAAAATACACTTACATACCCGCAAATGCATTTTTAGTACATTGTTATTTTTTTTGTGTTAAATAAAAGTTTGATGGTTTTACACTTCAAATATACTCATTAAAAGAATGTTTATACTTCAGTAGGACTTTAGTACACTTGACAAAAGTATACTAAATACCAGTAATACTTTTTACACTATTTTTACTGTACTACAATAAAGTACACTACAGAAAAAAAAACATACAAAAGAGTTTTATTAGTGTGTTTTTCAAAAGTGTGCTTTAAATGCTTTAAACATTAGTTGATTTTTAGTACACTGTTTACATACTAATCCTAAGTTTAAAGTAAGTTAATATATAAAAAAAAGCTATTAGTAATGTATTGTAGTAGAAGTACATTTTCCCAAAACTTGTACTTAAGTACACTTAATATGAATGCATTATCATCACTGACACTTCAATTGATTTTGAGTGTGGTCATTTTAAGTTTACATTAAATTAACTTTATTAAGAATCTGTTAGTAATGTATTGTAGTAGAAGTACATTTTCCCAAAATACTTTTAATACAGTGTTTAGCACACTTTTTTTTTTAAATTTGTATATTCTTTTAATATATTACTATTATACTTTAAATTAGTCATCAATATATTTAAATGTTTAAAAGTCGGGTTCAAGTGTATTTCTAGTTGTAACTAAATATATATTTTTAAAATACAGATATAGTATGTTAAAAGCACATTTTAGTTCAATTTCAGGGTGTCTCAAAATAGCACATTTGAGTACACTTAGATGGTATTAAGTTTATCTTCACATATACTTAATACTATCTTTTAGTACATTAGGTACAAAATTAGTGTGTGAAAATAGAGCACTCTTGGTACATTATTTAAAATATATACTTATTGTACTTAAATTGTATTTTAGCACACTTTTTTCACATTTTGTATATTCTTTTAATATATTACTATTATACTTTAAGCTATTCTTAAATATATTTATAAATGTTTAAAATTAGGGTTCAAGCATATTTCTAGTTGTAACTAAATATATATTTTTAAAATACAGATATAGTATGTTAAAAGCACATTTTAGTTCAATTTCAGGGTGTCTCAAAATAGCACAGTTGAGTACACTTAGATGGTATTAGGTTTATCTTAACATGTACTTAATACTATCTTTTTAGTACATTAGGTACAACATTAGTGTGTGAAAATAGAGCACTTTTAGTACTCTAAAAAATAAAGTGCATTTTAGTACACTTTTTTTTGTTTTACCTGGGCACTGTTAACTTTGAAAATTTACCCGGCATATCCTCTGGAGTTTGTTTTTCATATCAAACTTGCAAAATCGGAACTTGCAAGGAGAGGATGCAGGACTGAACTGTGTGTAGGCTACTTGATATTGAGGAAAAGCCCCAATCAGAGAGGTGAATGTCTGCAGCTCCGCCTCCGTTTTCAGATGTGTCAGTTTCTCCCCTTCCACATTGAGACGGAGCAGCAGCATTTGAAAATGAAAACGGCCTCTTCATCGCTTTCAAAATGCTCCGTTTTTGGTACTCAGAAACTCTGCCGTAGTGTGGACGGATGGCGTAACCGTAGCAAAACTTACACGATTTCAAACATATCAGTGTAAATGGGGCCTCAGTTGCTAATGTGGAAAGTTGAAGATGTGTGTATTTTATACTATACACAGCTTTTGAAGTTTTGTATTTGTAGTACTTCTAGTAATTTATCTTCAAGCCATCCTCGGTATATACAGCTAAAGTCAGAACTCTAAATTATTATCATCCCTGTATGTTTTCTGTTTAACATAACGAAGATTTTTTATAACGCATTTCTGAACATGATAGTTTTAATAACTCATTTCTAATAACTGATTTATTTTCTCTTTGCCATGATGACAGTAAATAATATTTGACTAGATATTTTTCAAGACACTTTTATACAGCTTAAAGTGGCTTAACTAGGCAGGTTAGGCAAGTTATTGTATCACTATGGCTTATTCTGTAGACCAAATATATATAAACAAATATCGCTTAAGGGGGCTAAAAATATTGGCCTTAAAATGGCGTTAAAAAATTAAAAACTGCTTTTATTCTATCCAAAATAAAATTCTCCAGAAGAAAAAATATTATAGGAAATACTGTAAAAAATATGTCTTGCTTTGTAAAACATAATTTGGGAAATATATATATATATATATTTTTATATATATATATATATATATATATATATATATATATATATATATATATATATATATAATTTAATAATAATTTTGACTTCAACTGTATGTTTGACGTTCTTTAATCAGATGAACACAATCAGAACAGTTTTGCATTTAATCCTGGCTCTTTAATGGTGTCGGGTTGTGGCTTCCAAAAGTGCATAAACCTGTCGTAAAATGAAAACAATAAGATCCTGTATCAACACAGTTTCTAATTTTTAAATTATAAACTCAAATCAAGACAACTTCTCAGCTCACACAGAGGATGGCTTGAGGGTGAGTAGATTATGGAGTAATTAGCATTTCTGATGAATGACTGAAACAAATAAACATGTAATGTTAGATTCTGTATACATTTTTTTTTGTTTGTATGTTCTAGATGTTATTTTTAATTCTCCACAAATCTCTTATGCAGAATGTACCTACAGGACCCAACAACAAGCCGAAGCTGCCCATCGTCGTGTCCCAGTGTGGGGAAATGTGACGTCTTTTACGATGTGTTTAAAAAACAAACAAAAAACAGTCACTTAATTCTGATTCTCCTCCGTCGAAAATCACATAATTTTGAAACCTATTTCACAGAATCATTATTATTCATGAAAATGCTTATTAGCATGACTCGCATTCCCATATTTACACTCATAAGCATGTGTGCGATGTACATTCTGAAAGGCCTTTTATTTTGATCAGCTTTTTTGAAATACAATTTGTTGTGCTTTTTTTTGTACTTGAATAAACATTGACCTGTTTTTTTAAGCATTTGGCAACCCTCTTTATTACTCTTCAGATTGATGTAGAATTGAAATCAAGAGACATTTCCTGACTTAATTTCTAAATACATTTTGTTGCGTGTTTTTTTTTTTTTTTCAAATACCTGAATATTGACTTAATTTTTTAGCATTTTGCACCCCTCTTTGTTACCCTTTAAATTGATGGAGAACTAACATCGAGAGACATTTCTTGACTTACATCCCTAATTTTGTTGTTGTTTTTAAATAAATAAATATTGACACATTTTAAAGCATTTGACAACCCTCTTTATTACCCTTCAGATTCATAAAGAATTGAAATCGAGAGACATTTCCTGACATTCCTAAATGTATTTGTTTTTTTTTATACTGAAATAAATATTGACCCATTTTTTTTACATTTGGCAACCCTCTTTATTACCCTTCAGATTAATAGTGTATTGACATCGAGAGACATTTCCTGACTTAAATTCCTAAATGTGTTTTGTTTTTATACCTGAATAAGTATTGACCAGTTTTTTGAGCATTTGGCAACCCTCTTACCATTCAGATTGATGTAGAATTGAAATCAAGAGACATTTCCTGACTTACATTCTTAAATTTTTTGTTTTTTAAATACTTGAATGTTGACTCGTTTCTTTAGCGTTTGGCAACCCTCTTAGTTACCCTTAAATTGACGGAGAATTGAAATCGAGAGACATTTCCTGACTTACATTCCTAATTTTGTTGTTGTTGTTTTTAAATACTTAAATAAATATTAAGCCATTTTTAAGCATTTGGCAACCCTATTTAATACACTTCAGATTGACGGAGAATTAAAATCGAGAGACATTTCCTGACATACATCCCTAAATACATTTTGTTTTTGTTTATTTTATACTCAAATAAATATTGACCTTTTTTTTAAACATTTGGCAACCCTTTACATTACCCTTCAGATTGACAGACATTTCCTGACTTAAATTCCTAAATACATTTAGTTTTTTTTATACTCAACTCAATACATATTGACCCATCTTAAAGCATTTGGCAACCCTTTTTCACTCTTCAGATTGATGTAGAATTGAAATCAGGAAACATTTTCTGACTTGCATTCCTAAATACATTTTGTTAGGTTTTTTTCATACTCATAAATATTGTCCTCTTTTTTTTTAACATTCGGCAACCCTCTTTATTTTACTTTAGACTGACAAAGAATTGAAATTGAGAGACATTTCCTGACTTGCGTTTCTAATTTTGATTTTGTTGTTGTTTTTAAATACTCAAAAAAAATATTGCCCTTTTTTTAAGCATTTGGCAACCCTCTTTATTACCTTTTAGATTGACGGAGAATTAAAATCAAAAGACATTTCCTATAATACATTCCTAAAAACATTTTGTTGGGTGTTTTTTTTAAGCATTTGGCAACCCTCTTTATTACCCTTTAGATTGATGGATAATTGAAATCGAGAGACATTTACTGACTTGCATTACTAAATACATTTTGTTGGGTGTTTTTTTTTTATTTATTTATTTTTTTTTTTAAGCATTTGGCAACCCTCTTTATTACCCTTTAGATTGACAGAGAATTAAAATCGAGAGCCATTTGCTGACTTACATTCCTAAATACATTTTGTTGGGAGTTTTTTTGTTTTTAAATACTTGAATATTGTTTCGTTTTTAAGCATTTGGCAACCCTCTTTATTACCCTTCAGATTGACGGAGAATTGAAATCGAGAGACATTTCCTGACTTGCGTTCCTATTTTTTTTTTTTTAATACTCAAATATTGACCCGTTTTTTTATTTTATCATTTTTTTATTTGGCAACCCTCTTTATTACACTTCTGATTTACCAGACATTTCCTGACTTAAATTCCTAAACACATTTTGCTTTTACACTTTATGAATATTGACCTATTTTAAGTATTTGGCAACCCTCTTTATCACCCTTCAGTTGATGTAGAATTGAAATCGAGAGACATTTCCTGACTCGTCAAGGGCTTTGAGTTGACGATACTAAACCAACACGTTCAATCCCTCGTCACTCAATGCAAATTCCTTATGAGTTGATCTCCCTTTGTCTTTTACTCAAACCCACATCCTAACCCAGAAACCCCTCCCCACCCCCTCCCGCTCTTGGATGATGTCCCGCGCACACAAAAGGCCTCTTTCAGCTGAAGTGCAGGAAGAGTTTTGGGCTCGGCGGGAGGCTTCTGGGGTCAATGTTAAAGCCCGTCTTTGTGTGGGACAACAGGGACCACCATTAACAATAAAATCACACTTCAACCAGGTCTCCGCGACAGTGCCAAAAACATATTTACATGACAAAAGGGAGAGGGGAAAAAAGGGGGTCGTTTGGGTCTGTCTCGTCTCTGGTCATTGAGTGCTTGCTTTTTATAATGCTGTGGGAGAAGTCAGTGATGGGATTTTCTCACTGAAACGAGTGATATCTATATCCTGCTGATTGTTGCTTGTCAATTTGGTATCAGGTTTTATCAGATTTCTATGATGATCTAGAGAGGCAGCCAATCTAAAATGGTGTCTGTTGGATATTTAATAGCTAATGGATATGCTTTTTATTTGCGTATAAACCAATTCCCCGACACTGGTTTTAATCATTTCTCAATTTTGAAGTGCATTGTGGCAAAATCTATATTATATAGCAAATAATGACAAATGAAATGTATATTACAACCCCCGGCGAAAAGTATTGAATCACCACTCTTGGAAGATTGGAAGACTCTTCTCATTCACAAGGAAAAAGCAAACGCATACATGCCACAAAACTATTTTCATTCAACAATTCAACAATCTGGTTGTATGAAACACTTTAAAAAACAGAAAAGAAAGAACACTTTAGTAAACTAAAGCTTTATTTACAGATTAAACTGAGGAAAAGAGACATTTCCTGGGTTTTTTCTTTTTACTCAAATAAATATTGTCCCATTTCTTAAACATTTGGCAACCCTCTTTATTACTCTTCAGATTGACGTAGAATTGAAATCGAGAGACATTTCCTGACTTACATTCTTAAATACATTTTGTTGTGTGTTTTGTTTTTTTTAAATACTTGATTATTGACTCGTTTTATTAGCATTTGGCAACCCTCTTTATTACCCTTCAGACTGACGGAGAATTAAAATTCAGAGACATTTCCTGACTTGCGTTCCTAATTTCGTTGTTGTTTTTAAATACTCAAATAAATATTAACTTGTTTTTTTAAGCATTTGGCAACCCTCTTTATTACCCTTTAGATTGTCATCGATTGAAATCGAGAGACATTTCCTGACTTGCAACCCTAAATACATTTTGTTTTTTTTATACTCGAATAAATATTGTCCCTTTTTTAACATTTGGCAACCCTCTTTATTACCCTTCAGATTGACGGAGAATTGAAATCGAGAGACATTTCCTGAATTGCGTTCTTAATTTCGTTGTTGTTTTTAAATACTCAAATAAATATTAACTCATTTTTTAAGCATTTGGCAACCCTCTTTATTACCCTTTAGATTGACGTAGAATTGAAATCGAGCGACATTTCCTGACTTACATTCTTAAATACATTTTCTTGGTTGTTTTGTTTTTAATAAATACTTGAATATTGACTTGTTTTTTTTTTTTTAGCATTTGGCAACCCTCTTTATTTCACTTCAGATTGACGGAGAATTTACAGATTGACGGAGAATTTAAATCGAGAGAAATTTTCTGACTTGAGTTCCTAATTTCGTTGTTGTTTTTAAATACTCAAATAAATATTGACCTGTTTTTTAAGCATTTGGCAACCCTCTTTATTACCCTTCAGATTGACGGAGAATTGAAATCGAGAGACATTTCCTGACTTGCAACCCTAAATACATTTTTTTTTTTATACACAAATAAATATTGTCCTTTTTTTAACATTTGGCAACCCTCTTTATGTCACATCAGATTGACGTAGAATTGAAATCGAGAGACATTTCCTGACTTACATTCTTAAATACATTTTCTTGGTTGTTTTGTTTTTATTAAATACTTGAATATTGACACGTTTTTTTTAGCATTTGGCAACCCTCTTTATTTCACTTCAGATTGACGGAGAATTTAAATCGAGAGACATTTTCTGACTTGAGTTCCTAATTTCGTTGTTGTTTTTAAATACTCAAATAAATATTGACCCATTTTTTTAAGCATTTGGCAACCCTCTTTAATACCCTTCAGATTGACAGTGAATTAAAATCGAGAGACATTTCCTGACTTACATTCCTAATTTCGTTGTTGTTTTTAAATATTCAAATAAATATTGTCCCTTTTTTTAACATTTGGCAACCCTCTTTATGTCACTTCAGATTGCCGATCCGCAAATCACAGCACATTATGTTAGCTGACCAATCAGAGGCTCTTGAGGGCGGGCCTTTTAGAGGAAATAGGAAATATGAGAGTTGTTATCATGTTAGCTGAGTAGCTGTATATAATCAAAGTAAGATGTATGAGAAAATTACGTGATTTTCTACAAATGAAGCATGAGCACACATTGCTTTGCATCTTATGAACACAACCAAGCCCTAAAAATGCACTGTGGACCACCCCTTTAACAGTATTCTCCATCAATCTGTCTCTAACTTTGTCTTATTGCAGTTGCTAGATCAGCTTTGCAGGTTGGAGCCTTGTCATGGAGCACTTTCTTTTACCTCCACCACAGATTTCAATTAGATTGAGGTCTGGACTATTTGCAGACCATCCCATTAACATTATATGTCTTTCCTGTAGGAAGGTTTTCACAGATTTCGCCCTGTGTCACGATGCATTATCATACTGAAAAATTATGTCGTCATCACAAGACAACCTCTCAATTGATGGAATAAGAAAAGTGTCCAAAATCTCAATTTAAACTTGTGGATTTATAGAGGATGTAATGACTGTCATCTCTAACATGCCTTTACCTGACATACAACCCCATAACGTTAATGATTGTGGACATTTTTTTTCCAGGCAGTGGTCTTTATAAACTTCATTGGAACAGCACAAAACAAAATTTCCAGCACCATCACCCTGCCCAATGCAGATTTGTGATTCATCACTGAATATCACTCAAATCCAGTCATCCACAGTCCAAAATTGTCTATTTTTAGCCCACCGAAAATCTTTTCTGTTTACATGTTAATGATGGTTTTCGCTTGGTTTTTCTGTACATAAATCTAATTTCTTTTAGGTGATTCCTTACAGTCTGGTCACAGGCATTGAGTCGTTTCTCATTTTCTTTGTTGCGCACTTTCTGTTTTGAAGGCATATTGCTTTAGGTTTTCTGTCTTGACACACTGACGTATTCCTTGGTCACTTCTACAACCTTTACAGTTGATTTGTACCGATTTTAGACACGGCTGACTGTGAACAACCAACATCTTTTGCAACATTCTGTGAAGATCCTCTCCTTTGTTTCAACTGACATCTCTCATGTTGGAACCATGAGTTATGTCAGCCAGCGCTCTTTTTTTTTTTATATTATTATTATTTTTTTTTTATTATTTATTTATGTTTTTTTTTTTGTTTTTACTGCAGTCTAGTTAACAGTTGTAATCAGATACAGATGTTTGTTTTAAAACTGCAAGTACATTTTTTTATTTCATCAATTGAAAGGATGTCTGGTGATGATGCATCATGCCATAAGGCAAAATTTGTCCAATTTTTCTTACAGGAAAGACATTCAATGTTAATGGGATGGCCTGCAAGCAGTCCAGACCTCAACCCAATTGAAATCTGTTTTGGAAACTATAGAAAGTTCTCCATGACAAGGCTACAACCTGCAAATCTGATCCGCCAAGTGCAATAAAACAAAGTTGGAGACCGACCTTCGAAGAATACTGTAAATCCATGTCTCAGATAATCCTATGGTGGTACTAGTGTACTAGCAGTGTTTTTATTTGGTGATTCCATATAATATTCCTCAGATTTGTGTGATTCCATTTTTTTTTTCCTTTGTTTGATCTGTTAAAACAGTTGTAATTGACTACAGTCTTGTTTCATACAGCCAGAAGGTTGGATTATTGAATGGAAATAGTTTTGTGGCATGTGATTCCATATTTTTTTTGCCAGGGGTTTTAGTAACTAAAACCAACAAAACATTGTTATGTAGCATTAAGTGATGCTGAAACATTCATTTTAATTACCTACATTACCAGTCAAACGTGTTCACCAAGGCTACATTTTTTTGATCAGAACACATTGGGTAACCTTGTGAAATATAATATATTGTATTTGTATGAAAATGTTGTTTAACACCAACATTTTAGTGATTTAAAGCCGATTTTTTAGCATCCTTTACTCACTGAGATCAAATTTGTTTTATATTCACACATTTGGACTTTCTCCTTAATAATATAATTTGAGAAAAGCATTATTTGCATTCTAAATGGTGAAATAATGTTAGCAGCCAGTGACTATCAAAGACAACATTGTTCACAGTAAAATAAATAGTGCTAATGTTGTGTTCAAGTCATAGACCCTACATGTGAGTTCAGACCGAATATTCAAAGTACCATGGTAAACAATATAGGAAGCATGTCACAAGTTGTCAATAAATGAATATGTGAAATATAAAACCAACTTTACCTCAATCCGTTACTCCAATCTTCAGTGCCACATGATAGTTCAGAAAACATGCTAATGTCATTTCAGCTCTTGATATATATTACAACTTGTATTAATAATTTGTTCTGCTTTATAATAGTGAGGGGGAGACTATATTTATTTCATGATACTTTCGAGGAATGTTCAAACACATAGACACATACACACAATGTGTATTATATATAGCTAAATAGTATCTTGTCTATCTGAGGTACGTTTCTATCTAATCTACACATTTTACTGACTTTCTATATTTCTAATTTACTTTTACATGCATATTTCATTTCACTTTACATATATAAGCCTACCCTTAGGCAAATATAAATGTATGTCAATCTCTTCGTTAAGAAATCTGGAACTCAAGCTCATGTTCTGGTTTTACGTTTGTTTCCCTTTAGCGTGTGTTAAATATCTACCTGCCGGTATGTCTGGAAGGTTAAATAGGGTCTTGATTTGCAGGCGGTGCTAATTATTTGTTTAACCAGTCCCGGTCAGCCCTACAATTATTTTTATGTGAATGATAGCAAAAGTGTCCAATGGGCGTCGGCGAAAAAGCTGACGTTGACTTATCGCAAGTTCGTCGACCAATTAGATTGGGGAATGGGTGGAGAGATGTGACAGAATATCGTCCGGCATTTTTACTCAGTCCGTCCAGTTCGATCGGCAACGGGAGCGGAGAAAGGAAAGCGGAGAGCCCGAAGGCAGCAGCCCCCACCACCGCCGGCCCAGGTTACCATCTAGCACCGGGAAAACACACTAGAGAGCCACCGCCGGCTTTACCAACAAGAAAACAACATGAGCAGCGAGGCCGAGACACAACAGCCGCCGCAGCCTGCCGCCGACGCGGAGAGCCCGTCCAGCCCGGCAGCCGCAGCTACCGCGGGGGATAAGAAGGTCATCGGTAAGCTTGTCGGCGAAACCAAAGCCCCCCTGGCCTGCGGTCGTTTAAGTTTCGGAATAATACATTTTCTTAAACGCTCCAGGGTTTATTTCAGTTATGTTACAAAATGTATGTCAGTTCAAGAAAGGCCACGCTGTCTGCGACTGTGCTGTCGTTATTCCGTCACCAACTTAATTTGTGTTCTGTACCCGTGGCGTCCTGCCTGGTATTTTTGTTTTGGAGCTGTCCGTTTATTTACCACATGTTAAGATTTACGTACATTAAACTTGAGACGTTAAACGGTTTCACCCAGTTTGAATGTTAACTCGCGTGTCGCGTTCCATCACATCCGCGTGCGGATTGAAGACCGCCATGACGCGTGCTCGAGCCCGCGGCCTGCTTCAGCAAATACGAGACGCAGCGTGCTTCTTGCATTTACATGCTCGCTGTCGTGAATTACGGCAGCAGATAATTTGATAATTTTCTTGTATAATATCAGTATGCTTATTTGTTTACTGGTCGATTTTGACTCTGCGTGAAGCAGATCTTTGAGCTTGGCCTTGATCGTGACATGATGACCCAGATCATTGACCATAGCTGTTCGCGTGAAACGCGCAAACCTTCCCATCATAACGTTACGTGTCCAATTATTGTGGTCAGCGCGAACCGTGTCTGTTTAAAACCCAATCGCCAACTTTGGGAGCCGGTTTCTTGTGAAAGCGAAAACAAGCCATGCTAATCTCCTTCTCTTTGTTCGCTTGAGGAGATTGACGCGTCGCGCATACGTGTCCTCCTCTCCATTAACACCAAAAACGCCGCTTCTTCAAGATTTTATCAACCGACGTACGGTTTATAGCGCAGATTGTATAACAGCCGTATAGATAAAGATAAGCTGCCCGTGTCTCGCCACCCCGTTTAGAAAATGTCCGCCACGGTGTTTGGATGATGGACGGTTCTTTTGTCTGCTCCGCTGCTGCAAACACTGAGCGCTTCGGGCCTTTAACTACAGGCCCTCGGCGTTTGTTTATCGCGATCCCAACACAAATAAATAATGTTGGGTAACATCGTGTCCTGTAGCGAGGATGGCGTGTCTGTGTAGTGTTTGGCTTCGATCCGGCCACATGGCTGAGGCTACTGTGCTAACTGCAGTTAGCATCTCAAGCATCACTTCCTATAACAGAAATCGCGCATTATTTGCCGAAATGTGGTTTGAACTAAATCCAAATCATCAATTAAAATGAATTTTATTTCGACTGATTTGTTAGAAATACGCACGTTTTATTGTAGTTCTTTCTCCTTCTCACTTATTTTTTGTGAACGTTGGTGTTTAAAGTTTGTCGTAATGCCACAAAGCAAAATATTATTTGTCATATTAAATAATTTGGCCTTTAAAAACAAACAAAAAAACATTATTAAAGTATTTATATGCGTCTGCCTCAGAGCAAGCATTTCTTCCAAACTTTAACATTTTAGATCCGAAATGTTCTTCATGTGGACCTGCCGGTTGTCAAATTTTAAAGGGACTTGCTTATGTGTCAACAAAAACCCAGTTTACACAATTAAGACTTCAGTTTACGCTTCAAAATGTAGCTCGCTTATTTCCCCTCATCACACACTCGCACTGTTAGAGGTTTTGTTTATTCTTTTAATTTTTATATTAAGTAACTTATTAATGTGAAGCCTCTCCTGGGGGAAGGGGTGTGGGGTTTTTAAAGGATTATTAAAGTTTTTTTTTTCTGATTGCATTAAAGATTAGACCGAAACCTGATTTCATTGTTTTTAAGTGTCGACCAAATTGTGATCTAAACAAAAATGAGAGGTAATACTTTGAACTGCTTGGGTCAGGGCCTTTCATGGTGATGGAGGCTCTTGTGATAAGTGCAGCTGCCTTTGCATCACAGTCTATTAAAAGCTCTACAGTTGGAGGCTATAAATAGAGCACACAAAATGAACTCCGCTAGCCAGGGATGGTAACTTTGCTCAATGCGTCTTTCATTATTCGGTGTAACCTGACTCTTGAATACTGTTTTTTAAAATACAGATTTGTTTTGAGTCTTAAATCTGTTTTTAACAGCCCTTTTCCTCATCTTTGCAGCAACAAAAGTTTTGGGGACAGTGAAATGGTTCAATGTAAGGAACGGCTACGGTTTCATCAACAGGTAAATAACTTTCAGCTTCTGAAGAGCTATCTAATATAATATGTGGGTCAGGGAACATCCACAATCCTATTAGAGCTTTGCTTACAAAGCAGGACCTGACATGCACTAGCATGCTAATATTTATCCAAATATTTAACTTGCTGCTCAACTGAACATGCTTGTTTACACTAAGTCCTCGGCTTTTAATGTTTTCACTTTCTTTATTTTTGCAGGAATGACACAAAGGAAGATGTCTTTGTGCATCAGGTGATTATTTTCTCCAGTTTTCTTTTTATATTTGTGTTGGGGTAGATGTATTTTTTTCTGATTGCCTTTGTTTTCTGTCTAGACCGCCATTAAAAAGAACAACCCCAGGAAATATCTCCGTAGCGTTGGGGACGGAGAGACTGTGGAGTTCGACGTGGTAGAAGGGGAGAAGGTGAGCTTTTAGTCGTAGCTTAGTTTGACTCAAACAAAAGTTTCACCACACAGTTAGAAATATTAGGCTTGAGGACTTGTTTAATAAAAGTCAAGGACAAATTATTTATTGAGAAATGTATTATTTCTTTCTTGCTTTTATGTAGTACTAGTCAAGCTTTGGGCTTTAAATTAAAATGCATTAAACAGCACAAAATCATAACACAGATGTCAAACTCAATCCTGGAGGGCCGCAGCTCTGCTCAGTTTAGTTCCAACGCTAATTAAACACACATGATAGAACTGAGTCCTTCAAGCTTGTTTAATACATACATGCAAGTGTGTTGAAGCAGGGTTAAAACTAAACAGTTCCTGGTGGGTTGCAGTCCTGTATGGAGTTTGACACCCCTGCCTTGACTTTAATTGACTTTTCGATAGGGGTGGCTGAATATCTTGACTCTTGAATATGTGGAAACTTCACTAGACGCTGCTTGACCGTGTAAGCAGAGTGTTTATTTCTATATTATAACACTTTGTCAGTCGCCATTTCCTAAATGTTCACTCAAGCCTTTTATTGGAGACGTTTACTAGAGCACTTCACAATTCTTTTATTTAAACTGCTTTGTTAGTTTTATACTCTGTTTGTTTACTGAAAGAACTCTGTTGTCAACAAAGACTAAAGCTGAACTGAAATAAATTTTTCACAATAAATGAAAATAAAACTAAATAAAACTAATAAGTCACTGAAAAATGAACCAAAACTGAAAATATTAATTAGCAAAAATAATAGTTTTCAGAGCTAATCAATTGTGTCCGTGAGGTCTTGAATTTCTCTAAATTATTAACTTTGCGTTTAAGACTTTAAGGGCCTTAAAGTATTGTTTCAATTTAACTTTTGCATCATGTTTGAGTATAGGGTTGTTTGATTATAGTTGTATACTAAAGTTTTAAATGTTGTGATGCTGTGTAGTTTATGAAGTTGATAGTCCTGCTGTATTTGATGTCACACTGCTTTGTTTACTGCAGTAATGAAGGCAGCACACTGTTCTATAGGTGACATCTTCTGGATTAACATTGTTAAAGTATATGAATGATGTTTTAGTTTAGGACTAGTTTCTTACAGTCAATATTTAGTGAATCTATTTAATGTCGCCAATGTTATTGGTTCAGACTTGGTGGCGATGAGGTCTTCATGTTTGGTGATACCTGTTGGTTGTCAAGTGCATGATGTACCAAAAAACTAAAACGTATCAGTTTTTGTTATCTGCCAAAATTTGTTAACTATACATGTTGATACTTTTAATATGATGTTTCTCACTTTCATGCCAAACAACAGTTTATGATTTTGCTAATTTTTTTAAGTTGAATTTATATGGTGTTTCTGTTCAAGTCCAAAAAAAAAAAAAAAGCGGTGAAAACATTTGCTTAACTCTAGGTGTGTGAGAATTGCCAAAACTGAAACTAAATGTGTAAGAACAAAATGAAAATGTTGACAGCAAATTAAAAGCCAAACTAAAACTAACAAAGCCATTAATAAAAATGATAAGCTGAAATTCAAAATCAGAGAGGTTATGTCATCAGAACTACTAAAATAATTCTCTGCGTATCCTAAATAAAAATGCTTTGAAGCCGATATTGATTAAGCATCATATTTCTGGCCAGACTCTGAATGACTTACTGGAAAATTCTGCATCCATTATCTAAAGCAACAGCCCATCTATTAAATTAGCGGACACTTGATCTGCATTGTCTTCATTCTGTCAGGGGGCTGAGGCAGCAAATGTTACCGGCCCGGGTGGCGTTCCTGTGCAGGGTAGTAAGTATGCAGCTGACAGGAACCGTTACAGGCGGTACCCACGCAGGAGGGCCCCACCTCGCGACTACCAGGAGAACTATCAGAGCGACCCTGAGGCAGAGCCCCGGGAGAAGAGAGAGGGGGCAGAGAGCGCCCCCGAGGGGGAGATGCAGCAGCAGCAGCGCAGACCCACTTACCCCGGCAGACGGCGCTACCCACCATACTTCGTGCGGAGGCGTTACGGCAGACGCCCCCCCTACACCAACTCACAAAGAGGAGAGATGACAGAGGTATGCTTTTGGTGATGCCTGAGCATCAGTCAGTAAATTAAATTGGAAGCTGCTTTTTTGACTGATGGATGCTTTTCTTGAATTTTAGGGTGGTGAAGGTGAAGAGAACCAAGGGGGTCCAGACCAGGGCAACAAACCAATGAGGCAGAACTACTACAGAGGCTTCCGACCAAGGTTTGTATGTCATAAGAGGAACAATACTGCTGCTGGACTTTGGAGATCTTTCAGATATTCATGATTTTCATTATTTAAGTTTTCTTTTTCTATTGTTTTAATTAAGTATTAATTTAGCAATTCTATTTATTTATTTTTTTAATAGAATGATCCACCCCAAATTACAAGTTTCCTGATAAATTACTCTTGGGTCATTGAAGTAGGCCTGTCACGATCAATATATAGACTTACTGCACAACACATGGACTTGACCTCGATCATTTTTGGTGATGCAGTATATATCGCCCATACATAATCAGTTCTAGCAACGTTTTAACTGAGCAGCCTCTTTATGGTTCTAAACATTGTAGTAATTCCTAGAGTATATTTTTATGTGGATGACTGACAGCTGAAAATAGATCTGCTAACATATCACAGACTTTGTTACTTATTACCTTGCACTTTTATTCTATTTAAATTTTTTGTTAACATTTTATTGTTTACAATATGCGTTTCACACTTTTTGATTCCAGTGCCTGATTATTAAATAGTTAAAATGGCAATTAAACAATCTTAAGAATAAATTGTGTTCTTTGGAAGTGTATTTGTTTTGTGGTTAATATATTGTCATTCTGGCATTATTTAATAAAAGGCTTTTAAAATGACAATAATATTGTTTATCACTATACATTTTGGTTCAAAATGTTGTTTAACAAAAAAATAGATATTGTGACAGGCCTACGTCTAAGATGTAGATGACTTAATTTTTCTTCTCCTTTTTAGCTAAATCTGTGGTCTTTGGGGATTTTATATTAGAGCAGTAAATGGTTCTGGGTTTTCTAGAATAAAAATAAAAGCATACAAAAGAGTCAATCAATATCTCTGTGCAAGTGTGACTAGTCTTTATGATTTGATTTGTCATTTTTGATCTTGATTTATGAAAGTGCAAAGGCACTCATTCAAACAAGTGATGCAGTTTTTGTATTTTGATGACTGACTAGAGTCGCACATGCACCAAGAACTGTTTTTAGCTTTCTACAGTGCGGTCAAACACTGTAAAGGTTCAGTTTCAGTAAATGAAAACGGTATTTGTTTTTGTGTGAACCCTTTTTTTTTTTTTTTTTTTTAAATCTCACAAATCAAACCTCATTATGTCCATCCTGCACAGTCGAGCTTAGGAAGAATAAAGCTAAACCATAATACTGCAAGATACACCGAATAAGTGCAAGTCTGGAGCATTTTGCTTTTTAAATGTTTTACTAATTAACCGCACCCTTTTTTTTTGTGTGTGAGAAATGAATTAAAAGTTACCTCATATGTTGCTTTTAGTATTAGGAAATTGCAATGGTAAACTGCATTCTTTCTAATGCTTTGAACATTTGGCATGAACATTTCTTCGAATGATCTTTCAAATTATTAGTTAAACTAACTTCTATTGCTCTTTAAATAGACTTCCCGTTGTGAAAGACTGTGTATTTAGTATCATGAACTAATAATGTATTTATGGACACAACTAAAAATCCAGAACTGTTCTTGTAACATTACTCCACTTAAAGTTAACATCTATATTTTCATTTAACAAGCACATACTTTAACTAATAAACTAAACATTCATTAATGTATTTACAAACATGTACAGGATCCTGTTTTGTAAAGTGTTACTATAAAACCAATAGCTGTCCCATCCCGTTTGTGCTCTTACATTTGGTTAGAACTGTAAAGTAGTTTGAGCATCAGTGTTTCCCAACCATAGTCCCGGAGGACCACCAGCACTGCATGTTTTGGAAATCTCCTTTGTCTGTCAAACCCATTTCAGGTCTTTCAGTTTTTAATAATGAGCTGATGATCTAAATCAGGTGTGTTTGGTTACGGAGACATGAAAAATGTGCAGAGCTGGTGGTCCTCCAGGATTGTGGTTAAGAAACACACTGCCTTAGAAACTGATACTGGGAATCTGATGGACACTTCATCATCTGTGTTCCAGCAGGGGTCCCTCACGTCCCCGGCCAGTGCGGGACGGAGAGGAGGATAAGGAGAACCAGAGCGAGAGCGGACAGAACCAGGAGCCCCGTCAGCGCCGCTACCGTCGCAACTTCAACTACCGCCGCAGACGCCCCCAGACAACCAAGCCTCAGGACGGCAAGGACAGCAAGGCAGCCGACGCATCAGCCGACAAATCAGCCGCTCCCGAAGCCGAACAGGGCGGAGCAGATTAAACCGCCACCGGCTTAAACATCCAGACCATCCGGCCGGGTGGGTGACGCCGTTTCATTTCAGCTAGTACTGCATGTACTTTAACATACTTGATCTTCAAGTGTGTTGCAATTTGTACAGTAGCATTCTTTTGTTTCGTTTTTTCTATAATTGTTTTTGTTGACAGAGTCTCATGAAAGATCTGAAAGGCACATTTTGCTTAATAAATGTTTTGTTGTTGCCTAAAGGAAATAAAGAATATTTGAAGCAGAATGATGTTTGGTGTTATTTCATGACAATTAAGCAGAAGTTCTTGTGGAAAATGTTTTAAATACAACCTTAGCCAAGCGGATTGTAAAATGTGCAGTCATTTTCATGTGATTTGTGCTTAAATGTCATGAAAGTTGTGCTGGTGGACTGATTTAATGCCTTATTAGCTCCTTTTAGACGTAACTCTAGATAATGGATGATGTTTTAGCTTTAGCTCGCACTTTTCATTGATGGAAGGTTGGATGATGGAATGGATTTGATTTAGCAGACTGTCTGCTTTGTCCTTTCACACACATTTTAGTGCTTGTAACTGATGAGTTGCTTCAAGCATACTGACTTAGTGTTTTGTGTGTGTGTTTGCTTTCACAGTTTTGTCAAGAAGAAACATCCAACATCTGAGCAATAAGAAACAGATATGACTTCGATCGTCTAAGCTTGCAAAAATGCATTTCGACCAGATTACCACCGATTGCCTGCAGACTCTATGCAGACTTTTTTTTTTGTTTGTTTTGTTTTTCCATTATTTTTGTGACAGCTAAAACTTTTGGGGAAACAGCAGATGTTTTTCTAAATCGGTCTTAAGTTTTTACACCAAATGGTTTTTAAATGTAATTTGATATCTGGTCAGTTTGACATTTTTAAATAACTTTTTATGTATCCAAACATGAATTTTAACAAAAGGCAAGCTGAAATAAAAACCAGAAACATTAATCTCGTACGAGTGGTGTTTGTTAACAGTTCCTGATTCACACTAGTCTAAAAATCATCTCTACAAACAGTGTCCTGCGGCTGGGGTTCGGTTCACACGTTGGTCTCTTTGCGGAGTCTCTCCATACGCTGGATGTTGTTCTCCATGGCGGTGCGGTTGGTGATCTGAGTGGCACAACTAGCAGGAAACCAGCCTCTCTCCCCATCTCTCATGCGCTCTCCATAACACCAACCTACAACAGTCATACAACAAACATTTGAATCTTCAGTCCAAAGCATTGTGGGAGTTTCTGTGGGAACACTGAGTCACAGGATGTCATCATATCCTATTTGTTACCGTGACACACTAAAGTGGTATTTGCAGGGTGGGGGTAGTGCTACATGAAGCTTTGAATTATTTACAAATCTTTTGTTTGGATGGGCATATCAAATTAACACCTTTTTAGTTTTGATAATTCTGTGGCTTTTAGCTTGTGGTGATCTGAGGAGTACCATAAAATTAGCATGATTCCCACAGATGGCCCCCCAGTGGTGAATCTGAACCAGTTTTGTCCTTTCTCTAAACTATGGGTCTTGTTTATATAATGTGAAGAAATCGTTCTAAATTTGATCTGAGATCATTTTGCAAATGTGCGATTCAACCTGTTTTCCAGAAGAGACATTTAGAGTTCGCAAAACATCTGTGCTGCGTTTCAAATTGTATGCATACGTATTATATAGTACGCTAAAAACACAGTATGCTAGCTGTGTAGCATGTCCGAATTCGGAAAAAAAAACAGTATGCGAGAAGTACCTGGATCACCTACTATATCTGTCTAGATTCTGGAGTGCGCATCCAATCCATGCTACATAGGGCAAAAATGCACACTCAATAATTATTTTCCATCTTAAACGACAACGATATATTTCGATATCAGTAGTTGTTGCTTCCAAATTTAAGAGTATCCCAAAAATGACTGAAGCTACAAAAATTAGAGGGGCCATTAAATGGCATAACATTTCAGTGGCCGAAAATTCAGAACATCTCTATTATCAACACACTTTAAGATTCCCATTGTTGTACATTTCTGCCCTTGGATCAATATAGAGTAAAAATCATTGACAATTTTATCACGTTTCAATATAATATCTTTTATCGACCCAGCCCTAACTTAAATTTCAGATAAAGACGTCCGATCACCATCTTAAAGTAAACACCCCTTAATTATTGTCCTTGCCACATTAAAAAGCACACACCAATATTCCAATTTCTATGCTTAAGAATTTACACATACACCAAACAATTATGGGTTCCACACAATTCTTTCATGTTGTCTCAACACAAACCAATTATTTTACGTAATTGTTTTTACACAATTAATAGGCCTGAACATAAAACAATTTAGTTGTCCCAAAAACCTTAAGAAATGTTTCTTCAACTCATTTTAAATAAGTAGTTGGAACTAGCAGCAAAAGTCATTTCTGAGTGGGGGAAAAACAACTGAACTAATAACAGTATTAGTATTACACAATAGAATAAAATAATTAGGGTTTCAAGAGTAACAAGAAACTTAAGATTTAATAAAACATTTGAGTTAAAAAAGTCAATTATAATGCGTGCTTTTCCAGAGCGGTTGTTGCATTTACAGCTTTGTGACATTTCCAATGCTTCAAATCATTTGAATAATTTTGCGAGGTTCAATTGTTGAAGCTTTGAAAAATGTTTCTCCCATTATAGCGGTCTGCTTAGTCTACATTACAAATGACGTCAAGACTAAAGGTGCGTCTTAAATTGCATACTTATGCACTATTCTACACAATTTTGTTGTCTAAATAGTGTAGTGCAGTGGTTCTCAAACTTTTTTTTATCAAGTACCACCTCAGAAAAAAATTGTCTCTCCAAGTACCACCAAAATGAGCAGTATTGAAATACAATAGCGTAGAAGGCCCAGTAAAGCAGCTACATCTCTGCAAGGTTAAAAAAAACGTGGCTGATTACCTCAGAACTATAGGCTATATGGCATATTATTTACATCATTTTTGATAAATTTTTAAATGTGTGTAGCATGTACATGACATATTTCATTCCTCCACGTACCACTAGAAGGAAGCCTGTGTACCACTAGTACAGTGTACCACAGTTTGAGAACCACTGGTGTAGTGCATTCATGCTGAAAACTCATAAAAAATAATAAGTGCACTTTAATTACCCGGATGATGCACTCGTTCAACCGGTAAAATTAAGTGCATCAGGTTGGACACTTCACGCACTTAACGGCCACTCGTGTAGCGGATGGGGTGCACATGTAGGATTATTTATTGTGGATTGTAAAAGCAAAGTTCTCCTTTAAGAGTGATTACAGCGCCTCCCGATGGTGAATGCGGTTATACTCATGGCAGGTATTATTTGGTACTTTGGTCATTTATTTCACTGATTAGGAGACTGACAAATAGCGATGGGAAGTTCGGATCATTTTACTGACTCGGATCTTTGAGTCTTGATTATCAAGATGAACGAATCTTTTTTCGAGTCATTTGGTTCATTTGGTTCAATTTGCCAAAATATTATTAAAATGTTACGAATTGCTTCCAAACACATCTACAACAAGCCCAAAAGGTTGACTGCATGACAAATAAGTCAAAAGTAGAATATAATAAGGAGAAAATAATAATTCAATGTTGTCTGCTCTTCTGTCTATGAAGGTATTGTTGTCTCTTTGCTCAGCTCACCTCTTCATCTCTTCAAATTTCAGGGGTTCATTCACGTTACACTGACAGTCACATATAATCTTAACCAATGCACTGTCTAAGCCGATAGGAGCCATGATCGTTCGTTGTTTACGTGACAGAATGACTCAAACCCGAGAACTCGAGAGATGAACAGTTCAATTCTTTTTCCGGCTCTAAACGCATATGATTGCCTCGTGATGAACGAGTGACTCAGACCCGATAGAGGACTCGAGAGGCGAGTGGATCAATTCATTTTCCGGCTCTAAACGCATATGATTGGCTTCTGCCAATGTGATGAAGACTTGAAATTAACGATACTACCTGCACAAATGTGCGCATGCGCGGATGAACGAATCACTCCTTGAAAGGACTCGTAGTTCCCGAGTCATATTGAAGATTCGTTCAAAAAGAACGAATTGTTCATGAACGACCCATCACTACCGACAAACGTCATCAGGGAAACAGTTTGAATTTCCACGTAGTATAAAAACCATTAGTGTCCCAATTCGACACTACATACATACACTATGCTGTTGAACGTGTAAGTGCAGAAGTACATAGTGCATGGTGTGCCATTTGGGGTCAGCTACAGTTCATGCTTACCTTCCACTTCCTGTATAACGATGACCACTTCAGCCTGCTGCAGGCTCAGCTCGTCTGGCGCTTTTGGCAGGTAGGCTTTGGTAGCTTCATACTGAGGCAAATCTTTCAATATAAAAAGCCAAAAAGAGCAGATTAGACAGAGAAAAAGAGTGGTGTCGGCGCAAAGCATTCTGGGTATTTAGGACACAGAATCCTAAATGTTATTGATCTCTACTTATTTATTGTATCACATATACACAAATTATACAAATAATGGAAAAACATATGGAAATAAGGAATGCTCAGATCAGGATTTTTGAAGCCTATACTGAGTATCGATTCCTTGTCATGGTGATCGGCTGTTACCTAGAACCAATTTTGATGCTTCAAGCTTTTTAGAACTGTGCCACTGCATAAAGCACATTTCCCCTCTGAGTACGATACTTTAGTTGAGATCTCTCCTAAACTAATAGAACAAATGAAGGATGCTGCATATAATCCGTTAAACATGTCTCATAACTATTCTCTAACTCCACCTGACAAAAGTCTTGCCGTTGATCTCAGTTGTAAAAGCAACAAATAATAACTTGACTTCAAGTTGATCATTTGGAAAAGTGTCAGAAGGTGGATTTTTCTGATGAATCATCTGTTGAACTGCATCCCAATCATTACAAATACTGCAGAGGAGACACTGGAACCAACATGGAGCCAAGATTCTCATAGAAATCAGTCAAGTTTGGTAAGGGAAAAGCCATGGTTTGGGGTTACATTCAGTATGGAGATGTGCGAGAGATCTGCAGAGTGGATGGCAACATCAACAGCCTGAGGTATCAAGACATTTGTGCTGCCCATTACATTACAAACCACAGGAGAGGGCAAATTCCACAGCAGGATAGCGCTCCTTCTCATACTTCAGACTCCATGAGATGTATTCTATAAGATGAAATGATCAAGCATCCAACCCCAAATATAATCTCATTAAAGCTCCAAGTGATTTCACAAGAGAGAAGTTGAGTGGATGTGTGGTCATGTGCCAGAAATAACGTTCCATGATTAAAAGATTCAAATCTTTGGCTGGGCAGAACCTCAGTTTTTAGTACTACAAAGAAAAGGTAAGAAGATGGAGCTGTACAAGACCTGAGTAATCATCAACAAGAAAAACAACTACATTCTGACAGCGAATGGCACCTGTTTGGCAGGGTGTGTGAACTTATACATAGAGGTAAAGCTGGTTTTATATACACTATGTGAAATTTAAAGTTATTAAACGTGAAAGTTATTAGGGTAAAGTTGGTTTTATATTCACACATTCATTCACTATCCTATTTATATTATATATATATATATATATATATATATATATATATATATATATATATATATATATATATATATATATATATAAAATAAGGATATATACAGGATATAAATATATATGATTAAAATATTACAAAACATATTAATTTCTAGCCTACATGAATTTAAAAACCACTGCCTTCATACTTTCATCTCGGGAGGCTTTTTCAGTTCATTCAATTTGCTTTTGTATAATGTTATTATTATTAGCAGTATTATTTATTATATCCATATTTATATTTGTTTTATTAAGAACAAGCTTAGATTTGTCCACCTGTCAGGTTTTAGACCATATGGGGCATGGCAGGTGTATTTGGAAATAACTCAGTATTTTGAGCACACTTCGTTAATATTGTTCATTTATTCGTTTGCTGGAAATTAGAACTGAATTTAGAAATAGTTTTGAAACAAATCTTTGCACTTAACAAACAAAATTAATTATTTATAGGCTAATTGATGCCTGTGCGGTAAGGTTTCCCTATCCACGAGAGCAAAAGCAAAAGTGAACTTACTTTACGTCAATATATATAAGATATTATATATTTTTCATATGTAAAGATATTTGCGTATTGCTCTGCATC